GATGACCAGTCGAGTTGTGCACGCCGCAGAAGGTTGGATTTGATGTGCAGTGGCCGTGCGGAGAGAGACAACGGTAAGCGGCAGCGTAAGCTTCTTCAACTTGCGGCACAGTTCACCACTTATCACAGACACGGCAGCACCAGTATCAACGAGCGCTTTCGCAGGTACGCCATCAATATGCACAGTTATTTCATTAGCAGGTAAAAACGGAGGCCTTGAAGGTTTCGATATATGGCAGCTCTTGCCTCGGGAACTGCGATGGTCAGTTTTCTGTTTGGGCGGGTGGTGATCGAGGAAGCATCGGAGAAATAGAGCGGCGCCGTGGTGAGGGTGACCGATTCCTGTCGAAGCCGCGGCGACGTGGCGGCGACGTGGCGGCGACTGATACGACGACGACGTGGGGTGGAACGAAGACGGCTGTGCTGGCTCTGGATGATAGGAGTCGTAAGTCGCCTCACCAGCAGTTGGGTTGTAATCCCGACGACGTCAGTAGCGTGCTACATGACCAGGAAGCTGGCAGAAATAGCAAATTGGCCTATTGTCTGGAGTGCGCCAAGGGTTTGTTGATGGTGGTGTGGGGTGGCGAACAGGAGATGGGTGGCGACGGGTAGGAGGACTTGCTGCGTAGAGGAGACGGGGCTGTCTAGCAAGATCCGTGACGCTTGGTAGCGACGGCGGCGATCGTCTGGCGGCCTCAGAGTAAGTGAGAGGGGCGGAGACAGGCGGAAGATTGTATGCGGGAGACAGGGCGTCAGAAACTTGCTCTTCGATTGCCTTGCCGAGCGTTGGGGTCAGCATGTGCTCACTGGTCGGGACGTATGGCACAAGAGACAATTGGCACGAAACTTCTTCTCGGAAAAACTGCTGGATTTGCTGCATTAGCGTGGTTTGTTCGGAGGAAATGGCGCCCATGGTTAACCCAGATGTAGAGGTCGTGTCGAGGTTTGGACGTCGAGTTGAAATCCGCTCTCTCCGCAGCTCGTCGAAACTCTGACAGTGCTGAATAAGCTGGGCGACGGTTTGCGGGTTTTTCGCAATGAGCATGTGAGAGGAATCGTCCTCGATACCTTTCATGATGTGCCGTATTTTGTCAGTGTCAGACATTTCTGAATCGATACGACAGCAGAGGTCCAAAACATCATCAATGTACGAGGTAAACGTCTCGCCTGAGCGCTGTGCGCGGCAGCGCAGGCGCTGTTCGGCGTGGAGCTTGCGAACAGTGGGTCGGCCAAATACTTCTGCGAATCGCGTCTTAAAGGTAGGCCAAGAGGGTATTTCCGCTTTGTGGTTGTTAAACCACAGTTCTGCCACACCCGCGAGATAGAAATAGAGGTAAGCGAGATTGTCTGTGTCATCTCACTTATTGTGGGCGCTTACCGCTTCATACTGCGACAGCCAGTCTTCGGCGTCTTGGTCGTCGGTCGCGTTGAAAATCACTGGATCTCGCTGTCGTGGCATTCCGGAACAGGTTACAGATGGGATTATCACTGCAGGGGGCTGGGTCATGTTGTCAGGCATTGACGAGGCGAGGGGTTGAGGTAGAGTCCAGGAACGGAGTTATAGTTTGAGACAGCCAGCACTCTCCACCAAATGTAACAATAATGCTAGGCGCACGCCGTGGTAGAGCAACCGTTTACTGGGCCTAACAGCACTGAGACAGCAACCAGTGGTTTCAGCAGCAGCTGCAGCAGCACGAGCCATCACCACAACAAACGTCTTCTTCGTCGTTCTTAGAGCTCGTATTTGTCACTACAAAACAATCAAATGTTTTGTATGTGGACGCTTCGAGGTACAATTTCAAACGGTCAGTTTCATCAGTACTTAGAAACGACAACTGCATGGTTAAGTGTGCATCCCTGTACACGTCCTCAATCACCAAGGCGGAATGCTTTGCCAATGCCCTTGCAATCAAAGCGCAGGAACAGAGAGATGAACCGCCGGCAATTATCATTTCCGAATCGCAGGAAGCGTGTCGTTTCTTTTCAAGAGGCCGCCTTCCGATAAAAATAAGAAAAGTTTTAGGCGGGAGATTGACGAACAAATATAGACGGATCTGGTGTCCAGGACACGCAGGCCTGGAGGGAAACGAAAGTGCCAACGCTTGTGCTCGAAGGCTCACGAACTGAGCAGAGGTTCAACAGCACATTTAATCTTTTGAAACACTCCAGGATAAGCTATCGAGGAGGATAATGACCCATGCAGAATGGCCCCTCGCGAAATTCTTGCTAACCAGCGAGGCATGCGACAAAATACAGCGCCCCCCACAAATCATTAGAACAGGAGGACGCGATTGACCTCCGCAGAATTCAAACGGGAGTCTTTCCCAATCTTCAAAGATTATACAATATTTTTCCAACGCTGTATGGGAATGCGTGTCAATGGTGTGGCGGCTCGCAATTGCTCTACCACATTTCGTGGGGATGCCTAAACCGACCACCAAATTTAGATACCTTTTCAGGTCAGTGCAAGCTTTGTAATACTTTCGAACAATGGGAGGCACAGCACGGCAGCTCTGACCAGAAATGCAGCTTGCACTTCTGCGTCACGTCAGGCAGGCGGCAGGACAAAGTGGAGCCCTGGACTTGGGGCCCCACCCATCAAGTTCATGACCTCCGTTCCAAAACCTTGCAAATAAAGTTTTCCCTTCCTTCCTTTCCTCACTTGAACAGGTGTGATAAGATATGATGCAAAGCAGATGTTTAATAATATAAGCCCAAACGTACATCTTGTAAAGTAAAACGTCGAGTTAGTACTGCCGATAACAATGTGCTGCTTCAAAACACTAAGATGAATTATTTTTCTTACCTGACCAACTTCTTAGCGTTGCGTAGCTATGAACACGTATCCAAAAAAACATGACATTAACGCATAGCCACAAGCAAATAACGTACCAAACAGAGAATATCGCTTACCTGTAGATCACAATTACTGCTGATTTAGGTGAGCGTAAGAATCGATGCAACACGCTCGATAATTTCGAGTCTCAAAACAGGTGAAAAATCAGCAAGGCAGCTCGCTCTTAACGGCCACATCGCCCAATGAATCGCTGTCCTTGTTGTGCTGCCTCTGGCCTCATTTGCGGCAAATCGTGACCTTCTACGGATGTCTTCGCTTACTGCATCACCAGTTGCGCACCACTCTCGTACAATACACAATTGGACCACGCAAGACGTCAAATCACGCAGCGTAAAGCTTGCCTAAATCGATGAAATAAAGAGCTACACCCAAGGGCAACTTGAACTATTCACACTAGCCACCTCGCATTCAAATTCGCTACCCGGCATACACCTCAAGTAAAGCAAAGGCTTGGAAAGATGACACCATTCCTTCTTCGAATGAAGTCGAAGCGGGGCTGGAAGACGCTGTGTGACTCACCACGAGCTCACACATCTCTATGCACACACGCTTGTGCGGTTGTCTCACGCTGTTTCGTGAACTTAGCGACAGTTTTTTGTATTTTTCGCGTCACGAAACTGATTCTTCGATTGCATTGTTAGTATATTTTGCTGGTTGTCGGGTGCTCACAGTACAGTGACGCCATTTGGCATATGATGTATTTTCTCTGCTATTCGTGAAGTTTCCCGAAGAGAATAAATTTGTACTGAGGCCTGAAAGCGAGGTAGATATGAGAGATATTTAAGGAGTTTTCATCGCGAGGACTTGAGCAACATAAGAAGGTATTTTGTTCTTGTGCATATGAGTAGGCCACTTCTTCAATTACTTGTCTTAGAAGTGCGATCACTTCATTAAACTGTAGCTTTAATACATAAACCACCATCGCTTGCCACAGTATCCAGCAATATAAAATCAATTACAACGATGATTTTGCTTTAAAAATCGCTGTCAAGACCCGTTCTGTTTACACAGTATACGCTCCTTAATTACTAAAGCAAGCCATGAACAAGAGCACGATTTCAAACATTCATCAATAAACATCCGCTTCCTAGTGTTGCTCCCCTGGCAGATGAGTGCTTCCGCTTTCACAATATAAGGGTTACAATCCTGATCTCCGTGATTTAACTTTCAAAATGGGATGCTACTGTAAGTGTAACCTCTATTTGAGAGGAAAATGAGGAAAACGCAAAAACGAAATTGTTGTAACAGCCGTCTCACCTATGAACTATTGGTTACTTGCCAAAGTAACTTCTGCAGGTTACCGTGGTTTCAAATATTGATAGGATTATATTTTTTCACTTACAACCAACGACACTGAGACCGACATCAAATTGCTGCGAAGGAAGCTTTTGAACACCGTCGAGTGAGGATTTTCATCATAAGAAGCTTCTCCGAAAACGTCTCCTAGAAATTTCAGCATTGCAGACGACCCTGTTGAGAGTAAACCATAAGAAGTTATTTGAACCAGTCTCTTTCGTCTGTTTAAGCATGAAGGTCTGAAACTTTTGCAGGTATAGCAATCCTTCGTATTGATTTCTATGCATGTTAAGGTGTTTCGTAACTGCTCGAAAACTTTCAATTTTAAAAGTGACTTGGGAAACCACTTTGTTACCGAACTATTTGCATCGAACATTCGAATATTCGAATATTTGCACATGCCGACTTGTTTTAATAGAAAACTGATGACATTAAACACGCATACCTCGCAGTGCTATGTCAGACATGTAGAATGTTATTTTGTGCTATTCTAGTCTGCAATCGTGAATGTACACATTATTTATCTCGCATGTCCTCGTGGTAGTTCCTGGCAACTGATTTGAATATTTTAAGCGGTTCACACCAGTACAAATAGGAGTAATATTAGTGATGACTCCTTGCCATTCTGGCCTAATTGGGTTCTGCAGTAATGGCATCAATACCATGGAAAAATTCCAACACGTGATTTTTCGTAACGTCAGCTGGGTTCTAGTATGTATATAAACGCGCCTGGCTGTCAGTCCGAGCACGCTGCCTTCGTGGTTTAGTAACCATGGCGAAGGTTCCAAGCTGCCGCATTCTGCTCTTGTTGGCTGCATTCCTATTCATTTTTTCAGCGATGCTGAACGATGGCCAGTCATGTGCCAATGCAGCCCCGACTCCACCTCCTCGGCCCCCACCTAGGTCGTCCAAGAAATGTCCCTGGTTCACCACCCCCACCTCGTGGCAGACCACGACCACCTATGGGTAAGACGCGCTCATGGTTGTTGATTTTTCGATATTGAGAAGTACGAAACGTTTCCCCAGCTAGAAGTACTTATGTTGCGTAGAAAGTGTATGGGAATAAATAGGCAGAAGAGTTGATGGAGAGTACCTTAGTAATCTGCACTTCGCCAATGACATTGCATTGTTGAGTAACTCGGGGGACCAATTGCAACTCATGATTACGGAGCTACACAAAGTGAGAAGAAAGGTAAGTCTTGAAATTAATCTGCAAAAAACGATAGTAATGTACAAAAACCTCACAAAAGAACAGCGCTTCGACATAGGTAATATTGCACTAGACTTTGTAAAAGATTATGTTTACCCAGGGCAGGTAATAACTCTGGCGCCGTACCACGAGATTGAAGTAACTAGAAGACTAAGAATGGGGTGGAGCACATTTGGAAGGCACTCTCAGATCATGACAGGCAGATTGCTACTATCCCTCAAAAGGAAGGTATATATGACAACGGCCTCTTGCCGGTATTTAGATACTGAAGCAGAGACTTGGAGACTTACAAAGAGGGTTGAGCTTAAATTGAGGACGATGCAGCTAACAATTGAAAAAGAAAATGCTAAGTGTAGCCTTAAGAGATGAGAGCAGAGTGGATGAGGAAACAAACGGTGGTTAGGGATATCGTATATCAAATCAGATAGAGGAAATGAACAAGGAACGGGCATGTAGGGCGTAGACAGGATTGCCGGTGGTCATTAAGGGTAACTAACTGGATTCCCAGAGAAGCCAAGCGGGTTAGGGGGAGACAGAAACTTAGGTGGGCAGATGAGATTAAAATGTTTGCGGCTATAAAATGGCAGCAGCAAGCACAGGACTGAGTTTACTGGCGAAACATTGTAGATGCCTTGGTCCTGCAGTGGACGTAGTCTGGCGCTGATGATGATCATGAGCAATTATATTATGCACGCTATCGGCCGGTTCTTTCAGTAGCCGTCTTGTCCTGAAATATATATATATATATATATATATATATATATATATATATATATATATATATATATATATATATATATATATATATATATATATATATATATATATATATATATATGGAAAAGGCGTCGGAGAAAGAGAAATATGTTTACTATCGAGAAAACAAGCTGGCATACAAGATGGAACCCAGTCTGCACGAGAGCTCCGACATCGTCTTCTTCCTTATCGAGTTTTGAGTTATCCGTGGCGCCACGTAGCATCACCCCTGGCGGCGAAGGCACCGTTTTGGCGCTCGGTTGGTCCGAGTGGTATCGCTTCAGCCGAGAGACGTGCACAACGTCAGAACAAGATTGAGCGGGTGCTCGTGCTGTGAAATTATTCCATTTCATAAGTCACGTCGGTAACTTGGCGCACGACACGGTACGGACCCGAGTATGGCGAAGTCAGCATTTCGCACAGGCCAACTCGTCGTGATGCCATGCTGAGAAGGACCGTGTCGCCACACTTGAAGTTGATATCACGGTGGCGGGCATTGTACAGCAGTCGTTGGTGGTCTTGCGAATCACTAAGACGTAGGCGAGCAGTTTCACGTGCCTGTAGAGCTCTAGAGATAACATCGCGGGCGTAGTCCGATGTATGTGTAACGGTAAGAAGGAGCGTGTCAAAAGGCAGCGTGGGTTCTCGTCCATATATGAGAAAAAAAGGCGAGAAACCTGCAGTACCATGCCGGGACGTATTATAGGCAAATGTCACAAATTGCAGGACCGCGTCCCAGTCTGGATGGTCGGTGGAAACGTAATTGGCTAGCATTTCTGCGATAGTTCGATTTAGCCGTTCTGTGAGCCCGTTGGTTTAAGGGTGATAGGCTGTTGTGCACTTGTGTCTTGTAGCGCAAGAATGCAATATGTCTTGTTTAACCTGAGATAAGAAGTAGCGACCCCGATCGGTAAGTAGTTGTCGAGGGGTGCCGTGATGTAGTATGACGTCTTCTAGGAGAAAGTCGGCGACGTCGGTTGCACAACTGGTAGGAAGGGCCCGCGTGATGGCATACCGAGTGGCGTAGTCCGTGGTGACTGCTATTCACTTGTTCCCACTGATCGATAAAGGGAAAGGTCCAAGTAGGTCAAGACCTACTCTATAAAATGGTTCTGATAGTATCTTAATGGGCTGAAGGCATCCTGCTGAAAGGGTCGTTGGCTTTTTGCGGTGTTGACAGGATTTAAAAGAAGTGACGTAACGATGGACGGATCGGTACATACCAGGCCAGAAGAAGGGACGTCGAACACGGTCATTAATTTTGAAACCTTTAAATGACCAGCCATTGGGGTGTCATGTAACTGCGCGAGGACAGTCTGACGATTATGTTTGGGTGTGACCAGTTGCAGCTCAGGTCCGTCAGGATGCATGCTGTAGCAATATAATACGCCGTCTCGGAGCAGGAACATACGAAGAGACGGAGAAATTGTGAACCAGTCAGCCGAAGAATGATATCTCTCAAGTGAGGATCACGACGCTGCTCATCTCCGTTGTTGCCAGAGGCGGAAAGTGCCAGCACGCAAGTGGACTCGTCGCTCTCAGGAACATCCGGTGGGTCGACTGGATGACGCGACAAGCAGTCGGCATCTTCATGGTGGCGGCGCTGATTTGTAAACGACTGTGTACGAATCTAGGATCTTTTAAGGACGACAGCCAGCATAAGGCATGATGGTCAGTGACAACTATGAATGGCCGTTTATACAAATATGGCCGAAATTTACCCACTGCCCAACTGAGCGCAAGACATCCACGTTCAGTGATCGAGTAATTTAGTTCCGCTGGCGATAAGAGATGGCTAGCGTACGCAATGACGCGCTCGAAGCCATGCTGTCTTTGTGCCAAAACTGCTCCGATTCCACGGCAACTTGCGTCGGTGTGCACTTCGGTTGGAGCGGACATGTCAAAGTGGCCGAGAATCGGTGGCGTCGTAAGTCTGGCGGTCAGCTCACCGAATGCTCTGGCTTGTTCGGGTTCCCACACAAAGGTCGCATCTTTGTTCAGTAGTTCCGTGAGTGGGCACGCGACGTGAGCGAAATTCCGCACAAATCTGCCAAAATAAGAGCAGAGGCCCAGAAAGCTCCGAACGTCGTTCGCGGAGGTCGGCAAAGGGAAATCTTTGACTGCGCAGATTTTCTCAGAGTCGGGACGAACACCAGAAGAATCAACCAGGTGACCGAGGACAGTGATTTGGCGGTGGTCGAAGTGACATTTCGATGAGGTCAACTGAAGGCCTGCCTTGCGGAAAGCAGAAAGAATAGTCGAGAGACACTCGAGGTGTGTTTCAAAAGTCGGTGAGAAGAAAATGACGCCATCGAGTTAACACAAGCAGATTGACCATTTAAAATCTGTGAAGGAGAGCGTCCATCATTCGTTCGAATGTAGCTGGGACATTGCATAACCCGAACGGCATTACTTTAAACTAGTACAGTCCGTGAGGAGTTACGAATGCTGTCTTTTCACGATCCATGTCATCAACTGATATCTGCCAGTAGCCGGAACGGAGGTCCATGGAAGAAAAAATAATTTGCTTCACTAAGGCAGTCAAGGGCATGATCTATCCGCGGCAGGGTATACACGTCTTCTTTCATTACCTTGTTATTATTCCGGTAGTCGACACAGAAACGCCAGCTGTTATCTTTCTTTTCGACGAAGACGACAGGCGAAGCCCAGGGGCTTGAAGAAGGCTCAATGATCTTCCGAGCAAGCATCTTGTCGACTTCTTTCTGGATCACGTGGCGTTTGGTGGAGGATATTCGATAGGGCCGCTGATGTACCGGATTTGCATCGCCAGTGTTAATCCGATGCTTTACGATGGTCGTTTGGCCTAGTGTTCAGCCGTGGAGATCAAAGATGTCTTCATACGACGCAAGAAGGCCACGAAGCGCGTGCACATGTTCGGTAGGGAGATCAGATGCGATCATTTTCGTTAAGCCATCTCGGGTTGTGCCCAACTCAAGACTGGGAGGTTTCAGTGTATCCTCAATTAAAGCTGAAATGTTGCAGTCACTGGCCGAGGCAAGTGTTGCTAGGCATATTCCTCGGGGCAGTACTGGCGCGCAAACTCCAAGGTTGACAATAGGGAGACGTGTCACGTTGTCCTTCATAGTGATAATCGTGTGCGGGAACGTTACATTGAATGAAGAGAGGACGGTAGCGTCAAGTGACACCACATAATCTCCGTCGGCCACGGGCGGATTGGAAGAGGCGTCCATATGCGTCACAGCTCGATATAATAGGCAAATGTGCTCGACGGAGCATGGCTTTGGCAGCTCAGGAGCAGGATGGTCAACGGCGTGTGGTAAAGCAAGTTGAACAACACCCGCAGAACAGTCAATCAGGGCGGAATGCTCCAACAAAAAACCTAATCCCAGAATTATTTCATGTGAACAGTGGTCCAGGACGTAAAACAAAACAGAAGTATGACATCCAGCCACAGTGACGCGGGCGGCACAGATCCCAGTGACAGTTGACGTTGCTCCATCAGCTACTGGCAGTACAGTGATAGAAGCAGGCATAAATCTTTATTTACTCGAGCACGAAGACCAGAGTTCATTACAGATATGCGAGCTCCAGTGTCAATGAGTGCTATTGCAGGTGTGCCGTCTACATTTACGTTGATCAAGTTCTTTTGTATAGGTAGCGTGTGCAGAGGATATTAGGTCGGGTCGTCAAGGCAGGCTCATTTATAGGAGCCACACCCACTAGTTTTCCGAGGACTGGTGGCGGTAGGAGGGAGAGGCTGAGCGGTGAAGGTTAGGTGAGCGGGACAGGCGTCCGGATGGGGACTGCCAGCGGTTTGGTCGAGCGGGCATGGGTAGCGAAGCATTTTCATGGTCGACGTATATTGGCATGCGAGAATCATTAGGTGGGCGACGGGTGTTGGCGTAGTGCGGCCATGGCTGCCAATTTCAAGAATTACGGCAATGACGTGAAATGTGGCCGACTCGTCCGCAGTGGAAGCAGATAGCTCTATCATTGCAGCATAGTTTCCCACAATTAACTAGAGGGCACTCTGGCTCTGCGATCGTTCAGCGACCATGGGAATGATGACTCTGCGATCGTTCAGCGACCATGGGAATGATGGGTAGTACACACACATTTGCCTAGTCTTCATACTTACGGGCGGCGAATCGTACTTGCGGCTTCGTTTATTGCTGGTTACGGTTTTGTTTTGAAAGAAACAACGAACCCTTTTGAACTTAGTGAACTTCATTCGAAATGGCAAGCCTAAATGAATAAGACTGTGAAGCACAAACGGTGAACATTTGCTAATTTATGTTTTCGTGAAAAAACAGCTCCAAGCCACACGAACACACACGGAGCCAGAAGCAGGCCAGAAGTACAAAAATTAGTCAAATGTGTGTACTACCCATCATTCCATGCTCGTTGAAGCGCCGTGTGTTGCAACTCCCATAGACACTAGCGCCAGAGTTTCCTCTAGTAAGTATTGTGGGAAACTCTATGCATTGGAGGTTCACCATTCAGCCGAGTTCCCGTAACGTGGACGTTTGTACGGACGGCGGGGCATATCATGTACACTAGTAATTGGTCCGGTCTGTTATCTTGGCAGAGCTTAACCGTGATATCCTTAACCGCGCTTTGTTCCCTGAAGCCACTCTGCTCTCTTTTTCTCTCAAGATTACACCCATATTTTCTTTTCCATCGCTCGCTGCGTCGTCCTCATGAACCTCTCTTACGAATGTATCAATTACCTGAAAAGAAGCCTTCCTCTATGGAAGTCTGCACAGTGAGGTCATTATTTCGGCACACAATCGGTCAAAATTCGATTTTTGATGCTTAGTTTTTCTACGCCACATTCATTAGGGCAGGGTTGCATTTAGGTGGAAAAACCTTTCTTCATAGAAAATATTGATCTACTCTTGGTCATTGCGTGACCATAAAGTAACTAATGTGAATTATTGTTTGCCTTCGCAGTGAGACCAGATGCATGGAGAAATCCGCCTGGTAACCATCAGGGTGGCAGAAATCATGGCTGAAAGGCCCCGCTGTGCCGCAAAACTATCTCTTCACGACGAGTGCATGAGTGATTGCACCAAAAGCGTAATAAAGTGTCCTGAAATCTGATGTGGAAGCTCGCAGCAGTAGATTGCTTCTTTCGCATATCCATATACAACCTTTGGTTTTCAGCGGCACGCAAATTTGCTGTCATGTATAAACTGCGAATGTTTGTTTTTTTTTCATTGTTCGTGACAGAGAATAGGTGTATATAGTTTACCTTTTTCTCTTGGAGTGTCCTGTGATTCGAAAACCACAATAGCGCGTGTAATAAAAGCTAATTTCTAAAATATACTCAAGCAAAATTATGGAGGCATTAAGAATCTGTTTAAGAAACAGAACATGGTACGCGTACAATATGAAAGTACAGTTACATTTCAAGTGTGTTACCCTGCAGCCTAACTAGGCAAATACTCTATATACTCGTCAAAAGGCCACACATTTTTTTACGTGTTGTTGGCTGAGAATCACGGGTGCGGCCATCACATGGATAGAAAGACGCAATTCATTTTTCATAAAAAATTCTGTAGCGTTTGTCCTTATTGAACGGCAGTACCAGCTTGTGCTCGGAGAAGGTTTGCAAAAGAGAAAATAGTTCATTTCTTTATTTTTCTCAGATGTGAGCGGGGTGGAGGGAAACGTAATTTGAGTTTGAGTTTGAGTTTGAGTTTATTTAACCACGTGACAAGTACACAATAATACGCTGTATACGTAATTTGGTGCGAAAGGGAAAAAAGCTGCATTTCACAGCTTGACTGGCCCCTTCACCCAGAAAAAAAATCTAAACTACAAATTTACAAAAAGTTACAAAAATTACAGGCAGCGGAAAGCGACAATACAAAAAGAAACACGCATGTGGCCCATGACAGCAAATAATAGAATCACATTTCTAAAATACATGCAAAAATATTCATAATAAAGCAATGCTTGAAAGAATAAAAACTGAATAAAAACTGAAAACAGAATTTCACTTCACGATTCGCTGGATGGATCCACTCCTGGCGTTAAGTCCAGTAATCAGAGTGCCCTCCTCTCACCGAGTGCATTCCGCGCCCTGCGTATCCGTCGAAACTAGCGTTGCCCTCTCTCCACTTATCTGTGCAGAAGCTAGTCTTCTGTATCCTCAACATTGTGTGTTTGCTTCGTACAGTGACCTTATGAACACTTGTTTTTCAAAGTACAGCTTCTTGTGAACGTTATTGTCACACACGCTTTTCATCGATCTCGAACTTCCGATCAGTATGTCACCATTTTTGGAGGGGGGGGGGGAGAACTACTAAATTCCAACTAATAACACTGGACACCTTCTCAGAAATCGATGCTTTCGCCAACACTCAGATAGATTTGAGTCTATATTTTGGCAAGGTTTGCCGGTAGGGTGTGGTTACCACGCGGGGGCTGCCATCGCACGATTGCCTATGGTATGTGGATTATGCGATAGTCATAACAGCTTGCCAGGTAAGGTCACAAACAAAAGTACTCCGTAGTTTTCGTTGTCCCGTTTGCTCTTGTCAAAAAACGGTTTGTGTGGTATCGCGTATTATAAATTGATGGGCACAAGAAAAAAGTTGAGTATGCGCAAACAGTGCAACCTCCAGCAAAACTTCGCATCCCGGGGATTTCGGTAGCAGAGGCGTAAACGGCTTCTTCGAATACAAAAACTAGGGGACCCTTTAGTAGGTGAACGCGATAGCAATATTTATGTTGCTTGTGCGTACTTCAAGCACTCATGCATAATACCTTTTGGAATTTGCTATGCACGCACTACGACGGCCTTCAGGGAATAGGTGCCGCAGCGTGTATGCCTTTTGTAGTGAGGTACCAGCTTTCTACCACAGAGCCCTACTATATTCACATACTCTTGACGCTCGTTGGTGATTGAGGCTTACAGCCTCAATCAGCAATCTTTCGGATTACAGTAATATTTCATATTGCATCGTGAAGCAAGTATACAGGACATGTGTTTGTGAAGCATAAAAGGTACTTTCACTGCATTTCCAAGCACACGAAGATCTTTTGACTGTTTGCACGAGCTGAGGCGTGGACGTGTGGTAGAACGACCACTTGCCACGCAAACGACCCGGTTTAGATTCCCACTTGGACCCAAACAACCCTGGTTCAGTCCCCACTCAGATGAAGGACTTTTTCCCACTTTACTCCACTTTGCTCCAGGATCGTCCTCACTTTGCTTCAGGGTAGTTCTCGATTTTTCAGTCACCTATAAGGTGATGATTTTTTTAATCTAAGCCAACGACACCGACGCCGAGGCCGGAAATTCTGCGAAACAGGCTCTTCAACTCTAGCGCGTTAAAAGAGCATCGTTGCGAAAAACACGCTGAAAAATTTTTTCACGAAGTCAGCGCGCCACTTCGTCAGACGACCCCACGCATCAAAAAAAAGACCAACAATGACAGGCGAGTTATATAGGTTTAGCCCGCTACAAACTTTGAAAAAAAAACATCTTAAACTGTAATTACCCTTCAGCTCCCAGACACCCATTTGTACGTCCCGCGTTATTGCCATTTTTGGCGTAAGCGAACGAACAATTCGTCGAATGTAGGGTCAGAGAGTGTGAACGCAGGGTGTCCAAGAAGAGCGGCAGGTAGGAAAAGGCGAGGGGGGAGTGACGGATTGGGCAGCAAATGCATGTGGAGGAAAGCGCAGGAAGATAATTCCGACACGGGAAGCAGCGTAGCAGCAGAGAGAAGGTGTCGGCCGCACAGTGAGCACGAGGAGCAAAGCAGACCACAATACCGTAGAAGCGTGAAAAAAAATATGATTGATATCAGCATTGTCATTTTCCGGTCGTGTTGGTAAACAGAACTTGACGACATATTGCACGCTAAGAGACAGGGACATCAGAGAGAGGACAACACAGTGCGCTAACTTCAACAATCTTTATTTTCAGGAAACACCAACGTTTATATCCATGCTCACTGGCGCCACCAGTCTATCCACCAGCCAAGCAGAAAAACCCTTTCCTGATGGTCAACTGACGGTGCACTTACACATGTGTCACCTTTGCAAAAGATAGCATCAGCTTCGATTATCTCTCGGACGTTCTTACGCTTCGCCAGTACACTGCAGGATTCGTACATAGGTGTGCAGCCGTATTCCACGCAATGTAATGACAAATGACCGTAATGTTCTTGTTTTTAACATGAAACTTGTGTTCGTGAAGACGGTCGTTAAGGTTTTTACCCGTCTGACCTATATATATATTGCCACATGCCAGCGGAAGCCCATAAACCACTCCTTGTACACAATCCACAAAATGTTCGCGATGGTTATTGGAGCACCCGACAGCTCCAACAAGCGACTGATCCTGCCAAGCTTTTGTGGTGTTGAGAACACTACTTTGGGGCCTACCTGACTAGCCACTTTCTTCAGATTATGAGAAGTTTTGGGCAGATAATTGACTACTGCCACTCTGCTCCTAGTTCTCGCATGTTGGATGGCTACTTCCCGAGGGCGACTAGCCAAATGGCATCTTTTAAGTGAACCCGCGACAACCGACATCTGTACCGACTCTAGAAAACCTGCAGCGAATAACATCTTAGACTGACTCAAAAGACTTTTTTGAATTTTTTGGTGGCAGGATTTCCGCTATGCGTTTCCAAACACAGATTAGCAATACTCCTTTTACAACCTTCGAGTGAGCAGATTGGTACGGCAACAGGGGCTTGTTAGCTCTGGATTTGTATAAGCCATATGTATAGTTATCTGCTCAGCTGCACATGCTGTTGATATTGCGAGTAATAGGGATAATTGATGATTTCTGAATTCTGTATTAGGTGGGCTTTTAAAACGCTTACTTTTTGCGAACTTGTTATATTACCACAGTGGCACTCCTGTCGAGGTTGTAAGCTTCTGCCACCAGTTGTTAGCTCAGTTAACGTCTACCCTTTAGCGCTTGTCAAGCGTGCCTAGCTGGCTGCTTAAGCTGCCGTATTCCGCAGAAATATCCAAAGACCGACACCGTAATGAAACCAAACATAGTAGTACTGCATGCTCGTTACTTGTGCTATAAATCAAGCGTAAACAGAAGCTTGTCGTCAACGTGAGCTTCCAGGAGCGTACAACATCAGCGTCGACAGATATGCCCTCCGCCCTTCCGGACAAGTGTGATTTAGTCCGTACTCTTGCATAGAGTTTCCTTTTCAGAAGCTTGCTCGCCAAGCTTCTTATGCTCGGGCATGTCCCTAGCCGTATACGATAGAGGTGCAGCTGTGTGATGTGCCCACCACACTCCCACCGTAACTTTCACGAAATAGGGAATGACACAGATGCCACTATGTTACTCGTCATTCTACTTATAAGGAAGGTGTCCACTACGCATCTGTAGGACGTTAAAATATTGCGCACTTTGTGCTGTTAAGAAAGGCTCGTCAATAGCTGGGCCCCTACGGTCGAGCCCACGAAGCAGAGGCCGCACGCAAAGGGCGACAAGGGAACCTCGACTTGGGACCTGCATCAAAATGGCCTTCTTCAACCTTTAACCGCAACTTCTAATTAAAGATCCCCTCACTTCACTCACAAAAACGTTACAATTGAAGGAAAACGCATACCTTTCCATGCTTTCGTAATCAGTAATGTATATATTTCCATCGAGATGTAAATAATTAGATCGTATGCATATATAGGTGTATATACAATCACCCTATAACGACGTAGTCACGTTTGTATATGATGGTAGAGGACTCGCATGAGGGATTCACTGTTTTTCCCTATCAGTTTCGAGCAAGCTCTTCTATCATTCATTTCGTGAAAATAGCAGAATTTTTCCCCAAATCAATTCAGGGTATTGACGTGTATCTGGAGGAAAATACTTCAACGAAACAAAGGATGCCATCTGTGACGTAGCCAATGGACTGGGGGTACCCCCCCCCCCCTTTTACTTGCCCACTTTTTTCTCGTCGCTTCGTGCTGACCTGCAGTTTAGAAGCGAAGTGGAGCTACTATCACAATATCATTTTCTGGGCCCTTCTACGGTGAATAATGTCTGCACACGGGAAAACTTGTCGTGGTCGTTGTCAAGGCTTTGGCACTTTGGTGACATTTTGGGCAGGAATCTCG